AAAAAAATAAACTATTTTGAGACCAAATTATTTTGTCCGTAAAAGTCTATTTATTAGTGACATTTTCAAAATTTTGTCGCTGAAAGCCTTGTTTTGACTTTTCGATACGACTTTTTCGCAAACTATCCTCAAGACAATAGAAATTGGTCCTTAAATGTCTTTTGTAACAAAATTTTCAGTTTTAGAGACCAAAAAATTTGGTCTCTAAAACTCTTATATGTTGTAGTGAAAAAAAAAAACTCAAAACTTATCAAGAAATTCAAATGGACAGTGAAGGTTTGATTTTGTTGTTGTGGAATCTAATCGTGAATGAATATTGGTAATAGATTATAAATTTTGAGTAATTTTCTAATTTTATTGAATTTGTAAAATTGACCAAAAGAAAATCTATTTTTATGATCTATGCATAAGTTTCTCCAGATATCTTCTGTATATGTGTGGTTTGTAAACACCCTTTTTGTCCTTTTGGTCTACTTGTTATAATAAGATGGAAAAACAAACCTACAACACCAACAATTAAGGGACCCAAAAAAAAAAAAAAAAAAAACTCATACTCTATGGGGTTTGTCTTTTATGTCAACAGAAGCGCCGAAATCTGCACAGGCAGTTTCAATTCTACACGAGCGAAATCCCAAATCCACACGAGTGGTTTGCTCTAGAGAAAATCCGCTTGAACGTAACCCAAATTCATACGAGTGGTTTTGCCCATAAATTTTCAGAAGACTCTGTTCGATTTTGCTCGAGTGGTTATCAAATTTGTACGAGCGGTTTTGCCTAGAAAACCCAGAATTTGATTTCACATCCCAAAACAAGTTCCAATACTCAAAACTCAAAATTTTTAACTCAGAAAAGTTAAGAGAGGCTAAGTGAGAGTAGAAAAGAAATCTCAACAACCTAATACGGTAAACAAAACGCCAAAAGTAATGCATACTATCTTACTACTCAATGTCAATCAAGTCCAAGACCAAAAAAAAAACAAAAAAAAAAAAACGTATGAAGTGAACCGACAGAATTGATAGAGTTATAAGGAGTGGCGATAAACGATTGAGGGATGGGATAGCAGAGGAGGGTATGAGAAGGGTGACTGAAAGTGGAGATAAGTGGGACGAGATGGAAGAGGAAGGGAGGGGGCAGATACAAAAATGAAAAAAATAAAATTTGAATATCATGTATTTGTAAAATTTATATACTTTTCATTCCTAGTGTAATTTTTTACTCCAAATTATGAATATTCATAAAATATGTGCACACTGATATGACTATGCACTCACAAGACATATATGTCCATGAGTGCAATTACAAAAACATAATTGCAATTATAGAGGGTATTTTTGAAAATTAAAAAAATAATAGTCACAGTCACAGTAATTTATTTTATATAATATATATATATATATATATATTTTGTAATTTTTTACAACAAAATATTGTACTAAAATTTAGAATTTTATTTTAACAAATATTTTCCTAAAATATTATTAGATTCAGGTTAGGGTTAGAGAATAGATTGTGCTAAATTTAGAATAGGAAAAACGACGTGACTCAAATTTACATGGGTACTAGAGCATCTCCAACCCATTAGGCATATAATACTTGTTAGTTAAAATATCTAATATGACTCACTTTTTCAACTCTAATGTACTAAGCATATGATTAGGCATTTTAGTTTAACTTACATTCAGTAGTTACATGTAGCTAGCCTTTAAGTTAGGCAAAATGTATTTAATCGTTTAGGATCAGATCCATCTTTGTTGCTGATGTGACATTTTATAAAGTTAATAATATTTGAATGAATAGCTAAAATAAAAAAAAATATGATTGGAATAAAAACATGATACAGTTGATAGGTAAAATAAAATATATATTTTATAATAATATTTAGATAGGTAAAATGCGTATTATCATTAGAGATGCTCTAAAAGCATCAATATCAACTTTGTTATACTTAGTTTTGGGGTTATATTAGTCAGACTAGGTCTAAAAATATCTTTGCATCAAACTAGCTTCAATAAAGCAAATTTTGATATTGCTACAATACATTGCTTAATTTAGCGATGTACTATATTATTTTATTATTTATTTTAAAGAAAATACATCTTTCATAAATGACCATCCAATTATCTACCCAATATCTCTTCTATATAGGCAATTTTCAGCAAGTAGTTGATCAACCGGTAGGTAGACTACCCAATGAAAATAAATATTTCATAAAATTAAACTTTAAATTAGAAAGACTGATAAAGTAAAAATATTAACTAAAATATAAAAATAAAGGGTGTGTTTGGTTTGTGTTTGTAGAGTAATTTTTGAGATAAAAAGTACGAAAATTTGTTTGATTTGTTTTTTTTCAAAAATAGTTTTAAAAAATTATTTTGGAGAGAGAGTTTTTAAAAAAGTGATTGATTTGATGTGTATGAGAGAGACAGTGATTTTAAAAAATAGGTAATCAAACAAAATTTTAAATTTTTTTTAGAAAAATTTATTTGATTTAATTACTCTTAAAAATTTGTTCATAAAGAATTTCTTTTAAAAATTTTTTTGAAAAACAAACAAAACAGGGCAAAAATCTTTAATTATAACTTGACTCAAAATTTAATGGTTCCCTAATATATGGACACGATCTAACGCTACGTGTGCGCACTCCGCATATATTTAGGCCTGCACCTGTTTCCATACACTTCTTTTTTCACTCCAAAACCCTAAACCGCGCAGACTCTCTCTCTCTCTCTCTGTCTCTCTCTCTAAAACAACAATGGCGACCGCTTCCTTGGACGGAGAAACATCAAAGAAAGTCATTCGTCAGGTTCATTATTGATTTCCTTTCTATTCTGATTTGGTTTTAACCTTCGATTTTGTGTTAATTCTTTCATAAAATCGGACATTTTTTGTTTTTTGTTTTTGTTTTTGTTTTGGTTTTTATATGGTGTTTGGCCCAGGTTGAGTTCTACTTCAGTGATAGCAATCTTCCTAGAGATAAGTTTCTCTCGAAAACTGTCAGTGACAGTGATGATGGCAGTATCCTTCTCTCTCTCTCTCTCTCTCTGTCTCCATATCTATTCTCTATTGTATTATTATTATATAAAGCACACAACTTAGAACAGTTTTGAAGATTGCCCATTTTGTTAACTACCAATTTTCAAATTCAACTCAGCTTCCTCATTCATCAATTGCCAACAAATTTAGATTTAAATTGCATTGTGTCATTGTTATTTCGAAGTATGCCTTCAATTCTCGCATTTTTTGTTGTCTGTCTCTTTCTGACCTATGTGTGCTTACCATGGGCTTATTGGTTGCCGAGAAAAAAAAAAAAATCTGGAAAGAAATGAAATTAAGCTGGGATGCCCAGAGTATAATAAGACATTTGGACTTGGAACTTAATGTTATTTTCTTTTCCTATGTTTTTAGTTATGTTGTGCTTGTAATTATGTTCATGTGGCTATGTGATAAAATATATGCTTATTTGGTGATTCCTTAGGCATTTTTATGGAATGATCATTCCCTTAACATAGTGAAAGATAATTCCATTTGTAATGCATTTTTCATTACATTTTTAGTCTAACCAAACATGTGAATGAATATTTTGATAGAATGGTCATTCCATTCCAGTTCATTCCAATCAACCAAACACTACCATGGGTAATGAACAGAAATTCTAAAATTTTCTCCCAAGAGCTTTTGTGTTTGGATGGATACCAATAAAGCACAAAAACAAGGTTTGGAATTTTAAGTTCTGTTGTTTCCCTGAGTTTTCTCAGATTACTTGTTATTTGTGTATTTTTCTTAGGTTGTATGTTGTTTCTCTTGTTCTTTGACTGAAACTTTAGTGTTGATTTTGTTTGTTCTCTTACACGGTTCAAACCAAGCAAAAACGAAAAAAAAAAGAGAAAAAGTTTTCATAGAGCTTTGTATTTGGATACCTAAACAGCTTAAGATGTTGGGTTTTAGTTCTTTTTACAAAGTTTTGTTGCACTGTTAAAAGGTTTATTGCACTGTCAGTATCTTCTGTTGTTGTTTGGTTCTCTGTTGTTCTTTGACTAAAACCTCAGTGGTCAGTTTGGCCCTTATATGTTCGTTCTCTCGTATGAGGAGTCATCTCAATTTAGGAATCTCCAAACCAGAAGAGGTTTCAGATGATACAGTGAAAGCTGTGGCTGATACTTTAAAGAATTCTACTTTTCTTAAGGTTTCTGAAGATGGTGAGTTTTTATTATTTTTATATTTCTGCCTGTTTGGATGCTGAGAAGATGTGGAAGAGAAAATTAAGAATTGTAGCTTGTGTCTGGTTTTATTTCTTTTGATATTGATCAGAATTACATATGGTTTGTGCGTTTTAGGTAAGAAGATTGGTAGGGCTACTGAGCTTTTACCGCCAGATGAGGTCATAGAACAATCAGACAGTAGGACAATTGCTGCATCACCCCTAGAGTATGCTGTCAAGCTTGAAGATGTGGAATCCTTCTTTGGTCAGTTTGCCAAGGTATTGGTTTCACCCCCTTTCCCCTTCCTTTTCTTTTCTTTTTCTCAATAATTTAAGTACTTTTGAGCATGCCTATCCTTTTGTAGAATCTCCTAATACTTTTGGTTTTGAAACCAGTCTTGCTTTCAGTTTGTTTCCATTAGTGTATAATGATTGTGACCAAGTACAAGGAATCTTCAAAATATATATTCCTGTATATATGTGCCAGTGAGGATAACAGACAGTGAAATAGGGAGTATGCATGTATAAAGTCAGATGGTGCTGATTGTGTGAGAGCTAGTTTGGATTACACAAAATTATAGTTTGTCCTGTGACATTCTTGCTAGCTCTTTCCCATCCACAGATGATGCCCTGATTTGAGTTTACTCTGCTCGTAACAGGTTAATAGTGTGAGGATGCCTCGCCATATTGCAGACAAAAGGTTATTTTGTGGCACTGCTTTGGTTGAGTTCTCAACTGATGAAGATGCTGAAAAGGTTTTGAATCAGAGTTTGATTTATGCTGGTGCTGAGCTAGAGCTAAAACCAAAGTAAGTTATGCTCTTGACTTTAGCTTTCAATGAAATTAATTTTGATGCCACTAAAACATTCAAAATTTAAAGCAAAATGCCTTTGTATGATTCTAATGCGGCTCTTGTTTTTTTTTTGATTCACCCTCCTTGGTGTATATAATCGAACCGAATCATACAATACATATCATAAATCTTATGATTTTGATAACAAAGCCCTAACACCCACTGTTGTTGCTCATACCCAATCACCTATTCCACAACTAGTTTCCTCCCCTCAACCCTTCAAACTCATCACCACCTCCTCCTTCCAAACTCACTAACCAACACTATGGTCAACACATTGTCACCCATGCCCGAGCACTACATCGCCATGCCTACGACTGATAATTCAACTCTATGTAAGCAAAATTAACTAATTTATTTAATGGATTGTCATTACAACAAATCAAGTTATCTGGTAGTGAAACGAGGCTTTGGCCTACTAGTCATTCAAACTTCAGATAACTAAGCTAATTGTTATTTCTTATGATATGATATTCACAATATTTCCAGAATTAATTTTATGCTACATTTTCTAATGTGTTAACTGAGTTAAATGCTTTAATTGTGCTTGGTTTAATAAGTAATGCCATTTTAATTTCTAAATATAGAGTAGTTAAATTGTCAACTTCTAAACATTCTTTACAAAGCCAAATGACTCTTATTGTTCTCTTGTGTATTGGACTCATATTGTATTGGTCACAAAACTTCCAGCTTCATCACTTTGTTTTTAGCATCATCCATTCTTTGCTAATCGTGGTTTTTGTTGCCACAAGACCATACCTTACACCTCTTCATCTTTTTCTTATATATTTTTTAATCAAAATTTGTGCTTGTCATTTGTTGGCATGAATTCCATACCATTTTGGATTTTTCCTTCCCAGAAGTCAAAATCAATGGAAGTAAATCTTTTGTGTCCTTCAGAATGATATGGCTTTGTCAGTCCTGTTGTTTTGATCTTATGTGATGAGAATGTGTTGATTCAAAAAAGGTTAGCTTATATAAATCCATTTTAGTGGCGGCGCTTGATTTCTTCTCAGAATGCTTACGTTGATGAGAGTTTCAAGTTGTAATTATTAAATCATACATTTCAAGAGGAGATTCCACATGGCTCTTTTGATAGAGGAATTCCACCTGAACATTGGCACTGATTACAAGTATTTTACAGTGATTGTTGTTTCATGTAAATCTGATGCAAATAATATACGCAAGTGCTTTTATATTCGTGCTTCTAATATATATATTTCAAATCAGGAAGGATTTTGATTCAGAAAGAGCAAAACAAGCAGAAGAAGTTAAAAATACTAGTTCCCATGTGCGTGCAAATCATAAAAACAGCTCAAATGAGGAAGCAGAGTAAGTGGTATGTGATTTTTCATTTTCTGTACTCTTTTAGTTTGATCTGATTAGATTTTCTCATCATCGCAGCTACCCCAAAGGCTTAATTGTTGCGTTTACACTGAAGAGCATGTCAGTTGGAGGTTCTGCAGTACAAAGTGATGGTCATGAACTAGCCAATGAAAATGTTGATGTTTGCAAAACAGATGGGGAACCAGATTCCATGCTGAATGCCACTGTAGAGACTGAAGAGAAGGTGCCAGAAGATGTTAAAGGTGATGGAGAAAAGCCTAAGGATGATATTGAGAAAGAGAGCAAACAAAAGGTTGATGAGAAAACTAGTTTGGAGAGTGAACAAAAGGAAACTGAAGATGAGGAGAATCTGGATAGTCCCATTGAAAAGGATGAGGATAAAACAACAGGGGAAAGAAATCGGGCTGCTGTATATAAGGACAACAAAGATGTTGTTTTACGTGAGGATCTGAAGGCAGTTTTCCAAAAATATGGCACTGTGAAGGTACTATATCATGAATTTTCTTCTTCCTGTTGGTTGTGCCAGCGCCTTTAGTGGATATATCTATTGTCAAGCTCCTCTGTTTTGTGCTTCTCTTGAAATTTATTTTCTACTATTAATTTTCTGTTTCATTTTCTTAACATTGTTTGTTGCATGCAACTGTACCAAATAAGGAGAACTATGTTTTTATCATCAATGCTTTGGAACAAGTCGTATGTGTAATTTATAATTTAAAATAGAGGTCTTTACAGTTGCTTCTGGACATATTCATTTACCAGGCTGTCCTATTGTCTCTGCAGAACTCTGTCGTCTCAAGAAATGTTTTCCCAGGCATTTTATCAGTGTCTAATTTAGTCGTCCGAAATTTGTGAACGAGTTTTGTGCAGTACGGTCATGTTTGTTTGGCCGGATTGGATTACATGGGATTAACATTGCTAGGACTGTTAAGTCTTAGGATTATTAATCCTTTTAGATTGCGTTATGTGTGTCTCTTCCAGCAGTAAGGCTTCCTGTTATCGTCCCTGGTGGCGTGGGTTTTGAGTCACGGAAACAGCCTCTGCAGAAATGGGGGTAAAGGGCTATATGCTAATGTATTTTCTGGTTCTACACTCGCCCCCTTTAGCAATCCCTTTATTTCTTCTTTGGGTTTTCTTTCTGGGTAGACCATCTGTGGTACTCACATTGCTCTGTGTGTTGCTTTCTATGCTGCAATTTTTGCATTTCATTTTTTTCAGGGAATATTATCAAATTAAAAAAATTACAAAAGTTTTGCTTGTTTTATTTTTGAAGCGTGGGTTCTGAGTATAGCAATTGGCTTTGTGGGGGTGTTTATACTAATGTTTCTGCTGGTATGTGGTTTTCTCTTGTGCAGTTTGTTGATTTTAAGATGGGAGAAGATTCAGGATACATTCGTTTTGAAGAACCAGGGGCTGCCCAGAAAGCACGTGCTGCTGCTGCACTTGCTGAGGATGGTGGTCTGATTGTGAAAAATTACATTGCTACTTTAAACCCTGTCACAGGTATGCTCCATTTTCATTTCATTTTGAAGATTTTCTTGGAAAGTTGTCTGTCACATGACATATTTTTTTCCCTTTCTAGTTTTGTATGTTTAATCTTCTTTATTCAGATTAAAGTTAGGATATGCATATCAATAATACGGTGACCCAATGTACTCTTGACACATCAAATGATTTCCAAATTTGGTCACCACAGTATTATTGTAGGAATATTTGGTGTTAATTTCATAAATGAATTTGAACAGTTCCTGTATATACTTGTATGTTTGTTGGTTTATTCTTTATGCTCCTGTCAGAGAGTTTTCTTCAACTAGGTTGATGCTAAAGTAATTTGTGTTCATGGGTGGTATAGCAGTTTATTTATAGAACTCGAAGCAGTCTAATTCTTTTGCATTTCTATTACAAGGAAGTACTATTTTTAAATGTAACGCTGATAACGCTTATGTTTCGTCCTGTTACACTGCCAGGTGAGGCTGAAAAAGAGTACTGGAATCTATTCCGTGGCAATCAAGAAAGATTCAAGAGCAACAGGAGCAGGTGGGTAAAAGCAACTTTCTCTATCATTTTAGGTTTTCAAAGTCTTTTTCTCTTGGTTTCTTGAGATTTAAATTTCTATTTTGTTGAATAATATTAAAAGAAAATTTTCCTATAAAAGATTGGTGTTACTTTTTGATCTTAGATTTGCAAAGAGAAAGAAAAGTAAAGGGAAAGAAAATATAGGAAAATAAAATAAAGTGGAAGAAGCTAAATTTTCCAAAGCTTGTGTTTGGATAATGGATTTGGTAGGGATTTGGAAAAAGAAAGGAAAATGTGAATGAAATATAAGTTAAATTTTTTTCTCCATTTCTCTCACATTTTCCTTTCCCCTTCTAATTCTCTACTCAAGTCCATAATCCAAACATTACATAGCCAATAGTTTGTTTGGGATAGAGAGAAAAAAAAAAGAAAAAGATTTATTAGTTAAGTCAAGAGAGAAAAGAACTCCCTCTTGTTTGGTTCAGGTGAAAGAGAAAAGAGAAGAAATGATATCTATTTCTCTATCTTAGTTGGATAGACTACATAAAAGAAAAAAAAAGAAACTATGACCGGTTATATTACTACAATGATCTTTTATGTTTTTAAATCTTTAGTACCTAGACGGACAATTTATAAAAAACTAGTCATCATTTTATTTCTTTTCTTTCCCAAACTCTCCATTTCTGAAGATTCAAAAAGTACGTTTAAAGAGAAACCGGTTTCTCTCCATTTCCCATCATATCTCTCATCTTTAATCCAAAAAGGTGATTAGGACCAAAAGAAATTAGTTTATGTTCTTCTCTTCAAATCACTCAATCCAAACGTTTGGTTTTGGTCGGAAAATTAGAAGAAAATGAATAGATATTTGCAAAACAAATACTTCTTCTTCTTCTTCTTTTTATTTTTTTATTTTTTATTTTTTTGAAGTTGCCTAAGTAGTTTCAGTTCTCTTGCATTATCTGTACCTTCAAAAATTCAAGATCGAGACATAGCATTTAACAAAGATCTTCATTACAAGGAACTGTATATCCTAAATTTCAATAATCTTTTTAACCTCTTAATTATGTCCCTCAATTTTTTGCTTAGCAGGGGTGGAAAACATAATAGAGGTGGGAGACACTTTCATGGAAAGCATTCGCGGTCGAGAGACAATGATTCTTCAACTCGCTCAAATAAAACCCAGAAAGTTGGAGCAGCATGAGTCATTGAACAACGTCCATGGTGATTGATGGTGTACGACACCCTCCACAGTTTTGTGCCGTGAACACTGTTCTTCTCCCTACATGTGTTTTTTGTTTTGTGGTTAGAGCTAAGCTTACTTGTGCTTCACACTGGCACAGTAATATGATTTCATAATTATTCCCCTTTAATATATAACTGGAATTATTCTATTAAGTTCTGTTTCTGCTCCTAGCATTTTTCATTGTTATTTTATGAGTTTTTGGCTGAGAAGATGGTCATGTTGCACAACACGATGGGTAAGTTTGATTTGGATTTGTAGAGTGATTTTGAGAATTTTTTTTAAAAAAATTTGTTTGGTTTGTAAATTTTTTCAAAACAATTTCGAAAATTACTTTTTCTCTCTTACCTATCAATCAATCACTTTTTCTCTCATCTCTCCTTCTCAATTATTTTTTCTCTCACACGTCTAATTCAATTATGACAAAATATCAAATTATTCAAACTCTAAAATTTTAAAACTACTTTTAAAATACACAACTAAACAAATCAAAAAAATTTCTAGACTCTCAATAATTTTCAACTAAACATACCCAATAATTTTCAACTAATGCGCGTGGAGAACACTCAAATATATGTTAAAAGTGTTGTTGTTTTTATTATTTATATTTTTTGTTTCAAGTTTCTTGAAGCTGTTGGTGATCTACTGATATGTGAATCTCAATTTCTTCTCTTTACAAGCTGCTGGTTCCCGATGCACATGCACTTAGAGCTGTGCTAAAAAATTGAGTCACTGGGAAATTATGTTTGGATTTTAGATTTTTGTATGACAAAAATAAAAAATAAAATAAAAATTAATCAACACAATTTCTTTCGTTTTTTTGGGTCACAAATTTAAGATAAAAAAACAGTATAAAATTTACGTACAACATTCTTGGTTATTGTATATTGTGGGCTTAATTAACATAATTTAAATATTAGAAATCAAAATAATACAAATTACATACTCTGCAACAATATAGATAATTAACCAAAAAATTGATATCCACAATGACACATAACAAAGTTAGTGTTTTTTTTTTTTTTGGCTATTTTTTTTCTTGTCCATTTTGATTTTCTCCTAAAGTTTAATATTCAATATCAACATTAGTGTTTATAATGATACAATAGATGGTAAAGTAAATAAAGAAAAATGGATACTTAGTTGGGGTTTTGGAAATTGCATCTTGTTTAGAGTATTTTCAATACATGGGTTAAATAGTGTGTTGGTGTTAAGAGGTTAAAAAATTTGTCAACTAATGTTTACTTAACACACATTTTAGCATATAGTTCACCACATTTATTGAAGCACTATTTTACTTTCTAAATTAACAAATGGGTAAAATAAAATATTGAATTATCTTTTTATCACACAATACATTTTAACGAGTATTTTTAACATCTTAATTATTCATAAATATCTAATTTTGAACCCTTTTATTGTATTGTGAATAAAAACTTTAGTAATCTTTGAATTTTACTAGGTGGCCAAGTGAATTTAATTTTTCTACTTATGTGTAAATTTTTTTTTTCCGTGTATTTATTAGACTCTCTCTCTCTCTCTCACTTTTGGAGTTTTTTTTATTTATATGAATTATGTATTTTATTTGATTTATATTATTATAATTGTAATTTATTAGATTTCAATGTAATATTATATAACATATATAGATTGTAATAATGTATTGTGATTTCAAAATAATAAGAAATGAATATCTTACTCATCATGCATCAGCCAACGCATGTTGTATTGTAAAATATCATAATTTAAAAAAAAATTAAAATATATAAGAAAAATGTTAGAAATCTTAAATATTTTATCAAATATTCTATCTAATGTCTCATATAAATATGAACATTTGGTAAAATATTTGAAATTTTTAACATTAAATAAAACTTGGTAACAAGAAATAAATGCTGTATTAATGTATCAGCCAACGCACGCTATAATGGAGCAGGATTCGGATTCGAAAGTCGGGTTACCCGACCCATTTTATATCCTCCCTAAGACTGCCGTTGGAATTTTTTAAATATTCAAATCCTTAACAAAAACACCGAAAAACAACAATCGACGACGATAGATTTCCACGTGGACAAAACACGACCGTAGATGTACTCAAACATGCTCGACGTTTAAAGCATAGGGTTTGAACTACGTTGTCCGCCCCTTTTGTCTTTTGAAATAGAACTCGGACCATCTGTATTTTCTCTCTCTAAAATCGAGCAGAAAATACAGATCTGAAATGCTCGCTGAATCGATTGAATCAGACGGCTCACTGACTTTATCTCTCATTCGATCGCGTAGTTCTGAGCTCAATTCGGTGAAGTCCTTTTCGCTTAATATGATTGAAATTTGCTCTGTATTCTACATATGGGTTTTGATTTTTTTTTATTATTTTTTGAGTTTTATATTTCAAATCCTACTCAATTTAAGCAATTGGGTTTCAATTTAATTTGTTTTTTTTTTTAAATAAAAAAAATGGTCTTGCTTTGATTTGGTGGAGGTAGTTATTTTTGTGATCCTAATAGCTAATTGTGCCCATGATTTTTTATGCATAACAAAAGCTTGAGTCACTGTGAAATCTCATCCTTTTTGTTTTCTGAATTTGAATTTGAGGGCTTAGCTGTGTATAAGTATTTACATTTTCAGAGATGTAATGAATTTGAATAATAAATGATGTTTCCTTAGCTGGGTAGAATCTGATAGTTGGTTTGATTTTCTTTGAAGTTTTTATATCCATATTTTCGTTTTTTTTTTTTTTTTTCATATATTAAACCATACTCAATTCAAGCAACTGGGTCAGAATTCAATTAGAAATTTTTTTTTTTCTCAATCAGCTTGGTTTGAATTTTTTTTTTTTTTTTGGTGTGTGTGTGTGTGTGCGCGTGTTAGTAGTTTCTGATGCTCTCACTGATTCGGTTAGAAGTAATGAATGGTGTTGGTGTTAATTTATTTGTTTCAGAATGGGTAATTGTGTGCATAATTCATTCATTTTTAACATACTGAATTGATTTAAAATTTGTGTGTGCAATGAAAACCTGGCTCATTTCTAATTAAGAAAAAGAAAAGAAAAGAAAAGAAAAGAAGAAACTTGTGGCACCCTGGGAAAATTTTAATGGATGGTGGAACCACGTGTCATCACAAATTATCATAGTGATTTGGTTGGCAAAAACATTATCAACAATAGAATCTTGTCCTTTTTGTTTGGCGAATTTGATTTTGAGGGAAGTTACTTAGTTGTGTCCAAGTGTTTAGGTGTTGCCATCATTTGTTTTGGAATGTCTGATTTGTTCTTAATTCATGATTTTTTTTTATCATTATTGAATTCATGTTAAATTTTTTATGTACACAAAAAGTTTGGGTAATTTTTTATTAAGAAAGATAAAAAATAAAATCTGCGGGTATGTAGCATCATGGGAATCATTTTAATGAATAGGGGGCCTCTGTAATGCAAAAATTGGCACGCTGATTTAGTTGGCATTGGCAACAATAGAATCTTATGTTTATTTTAGTTTTGTGATTTAGTTGGCATCACAGCTAGGTACACTTACTTGCATTTCTTCACAGATGAAATGGTTTGGAATATTTACTTTATGTTTGCTTTGTAGGTGAGCTAGTTAACGGTCTAAATATACTAAAGGTATGCAATTTAGATGATTGATTGCTTGATAGTTGAATGTTGAAATTTTAATTGTAAAAACTAAGAAAAATCGATAGTGTTAACCTTGTTCAGTTAAGGAAACCACAACTTGAAAGGAAAATTGTTTATGGCTACATATCACTCACTCTGTGTAACCAAAGACAATAGAGTTAATCAATATGTCTATTTTGCTCCCATACTTGTTTCAAGATCTTGGCATTATCCTGTTTCTAATGGATTTCTTCTTCTATTTTACAGTTTTACTTGACATCAAATTTTCAGATTATGTCTTTAACAAAGGTTCATGTAGTTCTTATGAGTTTTCTTCAGTGGCTCTCTTTTCTTTATGATATTGTTCACTATGTTTTATAGTCTAATCTCTGATTCCCTTATGCTTGTTCTTTTTTCAGATTGTGGTCCAGTTTTGTGATAAGGTGGCTCCTCCTGGCACTTCTTAGGGAAATTGATAATGATTAGGGGAAGAGATTCTAGAGAGAATTGTCGACGAGTAGGAATTGGGGTATGCAAATTTGCCTGTTTGTTAAGCAATGATGGAAAGTGATAGGACCAACAGTACTCCTTCAGATGGGGGCACCGATGGTCTTCAGAGAATGCGGTCTTTGCATGGGTACCTTTTAAACCATATAGAACGTAGTTATTGGAAGTGGTTTCTATGTTTTTATCTTTAACTTTATTCTTAAACAAGGAACAAAATTCCATTTCATTTCAATCAAAAATGCTGAAGCATTTCTATAAACATTATTGGAAAATTGAAATTCCAGGAATTGAACACACCAAAACTCATTGAAACACTACTAAAAATGGGTTGTTTCGACTCCTATTACGAATATCTATTAAAAGCTATTTCTATTTACCTTTTTTTTGGTTAAACGAAAATATTTAGAATAAAAAACTTAAATTTATTAGCGAATATGAGAATGTAGAAAGGAGAAGATAAGAGATAAAGAGATGAAAAGTAATTGGATATGGTGAAGTAACATATTTCCTTGTTATTAGAGATACCTTTTTTTTATACATTCGCTCTTACTTTCTTTTATTTTTATTTTTTTCATCCATACTATGTTTTATCTTAAAATGGCAAACCTCCTTTCCCAACTAAATCTTTAAAACTTTTGTTTATAAACTTCTAATATTCGTTGACCTTCATTGAATCTTACTCTTAATCTTGTTTAAAAATTAACTTTGTTTGCCGGAAGGACCTCCCATGCCTTGGATACCCATGGGCCTTTTCATCCACCGATGACCACGACTACGACAATATCTCCATCTCCACGCAACAAAAAACCCACACCACCAACTCTTCTTCCTCCAAACTACAACAACACTATCCATCAACAACAACAACACCCATAATCCCCCAAAAGTCCCTCCGATATGACACCCAGCTCAAACACATCGTCTTCTGCATCGCCGCCTCTTCCAAACACTGGGACCAAAGAAAACAATACATAAAGCAGTGGTGGAGACCTAGGCAGACCAGAGGAGTGGTCTGGTTAGATCAGAGAGTCAGGACCAGGCGGCACGAAGCCTCCTCCTTGCCCGAGATTCGGATCTCCGGCACCACCGCCAGTTTCAAGTACACGAACCGCCAGGGTCAGAGATCCGCCCTCAGAATATCGAGGGTGGTTTCGGAGACTCTCAGGCTAGGAATGAAGGACGTGAGGTGGTTCATGATGGGGGATGACGACACCATTTTCATGGTCGATAATTTGGTGAGGATTTTGTCCAAGTACGATCACAGACAGCTCTATTACGTTGGCAGTTCGTCGGGGGCGTCGGTTAGATCCCCTGCGACGATGAAGATCTGGTGCGGAGACAAGAGCTCTTGGCGAGCTCGTTGGAGAGAGGGGTCGTAGTAGGAACTGAAGTTGTCGAAGCCAAGGACACCGTCGCCGCGTTCTGGCAACGCGAGGAAGGAGTGGGTGCCGACGAAGCCGGCGGCGCCTGTGACGAGGATGGAGAAGAAGGTCTGTCGGCGGGGGGTGGCGGAGTGGCGGACTTGTTGTTCCCAGGCGGCGGTAGTTGATGGAGGTTTCAATAAGCATGGTTGGGGTCCGGCGGGCGGTGAAGGCAAGGTTGCCGCCCGCTGGAAGGTGAAGATCACCAAGAGCTAACCTATAGCTCTGATACCATATTAAATTTAATGGACATAGAGAAAGAGGAAAATAGAACTCTGTTTATTCAATCTCTATTACAATAGATACACACACTCCTTCATATATAGGAGATGCTAATGCTATACAATCAGAGTGGCATTATATAGGAGAGGGTTTGGGTAGTAGGTGAGGAGTAGGTGAGGGTGAATTGGTGGTAGGTGGACTGTAGTAGGTGAGTGTGAATGGTAAATTCTAACATTATTATTATTTTTTGTAAACTTTATTTGTTTGGAGCATGATTTTGACATTTAATTCCAAATTATACGATTAATACTTTTTAAATAAAGAGACGTGTGTAGACCCCAAACATATTCTATTATTTAATTGTTGAGATTTTATACACATTTATATAGGCTTTTGTTGTTGTATCTAAAAATTTCTGAGCATTCTTATCATCTCCTTTATGCTTACAAAATGTTTCTGTTTCTAAGCTAATCAATATACCACACACAAACAAAATTTTGATTTTCGTTGTTATCATACTTTTATATGCTAGTTCGTTGTATGTTATTAACTCTTTATACCTTGAAACAAGGTGCACCTTTGTACAATTGAGCCCTTTATTAGACCCGGTATTTCATTCATTTGTTGATGCAAGTGAGAATTCAAAACAGTGTTTAATAGGTCTTTTTGATGTGTGCTATGTTATTCAAACATCCTTTAACAATGCTATGATTCCTTCAGCTAAATCTAATATTTCCCTTGATGCTTAAACCCTTCTTCCCACCACACCACAATTATTTATTTTTTATTGTTTATAAGGCTAGTATCTCATTTGATTGAGAGAATGACCATTATGATGTTAACCCCTTGACCTTCTTTAACACTATGATTGCCACCATTTTATAGGAGGACAAGTGGCCCTACCAGGCGTTCAACAAAGGGTCAATGGACAGCAGAAGAGGTAAATGGTCGCTTTCTTGACTGTTTAGATAAAATACATCAGTCCAGCAACTCATTATTCTTGCTTTGGACATCATTACATCCGCATTAATAATACATGAGGATGCTTGACTTCAAACACCGATAACCATTGTGTCGGAGGTGTGAAGCGAAATCCCACATCACTCTTTTCATTATCAATCTTAACTTTCTTTTATGTCTATGTTGGGGAGGAGTGCGGCTTGGATATTCTTATTCTATTCTTCAGCTTTACCAGTCATATGTTTCAAAGTCGTGGCTGCTTCTACTTGAAGATTTTGGTTAATTTTGTCTAACTGCTATTTTCTCTCATCTACGCATGAATATATCTACTTTGATTTTCTTTGCACATATTCCTAACGAGATGGATTTTGATTTTTCATTCAGGATGATATTTTGTGCAAGGCTGTTCAACGCTTTAAAGGAAAAAACTGGAAAAAAATAGGTAATCTTTTGAAATCTACATTTTTATCTCTGTTGTATCATCTTATGGAATTAAAGAGATCTTGGATATTTTGCTTTATCATATTTATTGTAAAATTGTGCTTTTTGTAGCGGAATGTTTCAAGGACCGAACAGACGTACAATGTTTACATAGGTGGCAGAAAGTTTTGAATCCGGAACTTGTCAAAGGTCCTTGGTCTAAAGGGGTGAGGCATCATGGTTGTTCCTTGCTTTTCTGTCAAATTTTCCCTCTTTAAGTTACTAATATATGTATTATCTCATAAATTCTAATTTGATCAAATTAATTATTTGCATAACTTACGTACAGGAGGATGAAATTATAGTTGAATTGGTGGATAAGTATGGGCCAAAAAAATGGTCTACCATTGCACAACATTTACCTGGACGTATTGGAAAGCAATGTCGGGAAAGGTAAAGTTAGGAAGCTTCTACTGGATAATTTTATTACCTTCTGTCTTTCCTCCTTTTATTAGGTATGTAGCTTTTAAATGTAAAGCACTTTCAGAAGGGTAAGTGAGATGACAACGATATGTGAGATCTTTTTTTTAATTTTTATTTATTTCTTTTAAAACTTATCAATATTCTATACTGTATTCTCCTTGTCTTGTTTTAAGCAAACAACCATTTGATTTCTACACATGAAATATTGCAATCAAAGGAAAATTTTGCTACTGACACTATGTACAGGATTTGGAACTTCTTTATTTGTGGTTGGATTGGTTATTTGATATGGAAATTGCCTCTGTTTTTGTCACCAGTTCAGTATTCTATGCAAACTTTCCCATCTCACCTCTCCTCAACTTGAGCCAGTAGCCCAGTCATTGCTACTTGTAGCAAATGCTTTGCTTTTAATTTATATTGTTTTGTTATTGTGAAGTTTCTGTGTTTCATCCATTCCTATGGGTGTTGGTGTCCTATATTTATCTAAAAGCTGTATTTTCTGTTGGCATTAGCTCACTAGAACATATATCTAAAAGCTGTATTTTATTCCGTTTCATTACTTTTTTAACTTCTTTTATCTGTGTTAGGGAATTGATGGTTTAATTTTTTTGATATGCAAATGATTTCCTTTTCCTAGGTGGCATAATCACCTTAATCCAAATATCAGCAAGGAGGCCTGGACGCAAGAAGAGGAATTGACTTTGATTAGTGCCCATCAAATTTATGGGAACAAGTGGGCAGAGTTGACAAAATTTTTGCCTGGGAGGTAAATTTTATTAAACCCAATAATTATTTTTGACAAAGAGCATCTCATTAAACTAACTAAATTTTTATCACATATTCTTAACATATTAGCATGCTTCATTTTGTCATCATCTTTTTATCTCTGAAGCATTAATTTAGTTCTATATGCTTCTTTGCTAGTGTTCAAGCTTTCTATTTGTGTCTGTCAATCACAATTGTGTGTGCATCTGATCTTATGTTGACATTCATCTTTACCATAATGAGTTTTGAAATATATGTTCTTGTATGGTCATCAGGACGGACAATTCCATTAAAAATCATTGGAACAGTTCTGTAAAAAAGAAACTAGACTCATACTTGGCTTCAGGCTTACTTGCACAGTTCCAAGGCCTGCCTCATGTCAGCTACCCAAACCAATCAATACCTTCATCTTCTTCAACAATGCCACTGAGCAGTGGTGATGATAGCGTTCCCAAAGATGGGACGGAAGCAGAGGAGATTTCAGAATGTAGTCAAGGATCAACTGTTGTTGGTTGTTCTCAATCAACTAGTGATATGCCCAATGCCGTGGCACATACAAGAGAAGAATGCCGACTGACTGAAGAATCTGGTCATGGCAAGGAGGATCCAAGCTTCAGTCCAGCTTCATGTTCTGAAAATTATCACACAGCTTTTCAAGAAGTTGCTTTTTGCATGCCAGAAGTACCTTGTGACTTTGGGGGCTCTTCCAACTACCTTGAACAAAATTACACACCTGGCTGGGGAAGTTATGCAGGTAAAGATTGGCAGCTTAACTCAAATGAATCCTCAGAATTTTTGATGCATTGTATAGGTGGCAATGAAAACCCTGAAGTGGTTCCTTTCCAATTGCAAACTTCTGTGGGTTTAAATGTTTCTCCTTCTGTGGGAAATTTGGTTTTGGGATCTGGCGATCCGGAGCACATGCTGATACATGAAGATGGATGTTGCAGGGTGATATACCCAGAGGCAGAGATGGATGGATACTTTTCTTCTACAAAATGCTCAGATATTATGGATTTTAATGAATCTGCAGACTCATTGCTTTACCAACCGTCAAATTATCAGCTCCCTGATCCCCCAAAGTCGGACATGTTAGGAACTTTATGCTCTCAACCTTTTGATGTTCAGTCACAACTTCCTCCTGATGATAGTGCACTTTTCTTTGGTAGTGATCCCAATCAGTTTAATGATCTCTCTCATGGAAACGAAGAAGAGGAGCTTGCAAAGAGTCCAAATGATGATTTTATCTATGCCAATGACTCTAATAATTCTCCCGGCAATAATGGCAAAGATAATATGGGTCAACAAGATGAACCAGACCAGGCAAGGAATTCCTTAAAACTAGTTCCTGTAGATGCTTTTAGTTCAGGACCATCAAACAATATCCAAAGTCATTCTTCACTGGAGGAAAATCCAATTGTGCCAACTGAACAGCAGGAAACAGGAGCTTTATTTTATGAACCTCCTCGTTTTCCAAGCTTGGATATTCCTTTTTTCAGTTGTGATCTCATACAATCTGGAACTGATATGCAACAAGAATATAGTCCTCTTGGTATCCGGCAACTGATGATGTCATCTATGAACTGTTTTACTCCATTTAGGTTATGGGATTCACCATTGCGGGATGATAGTCCAGATGCTGTGCTGAAAAGTGCTGCCAAAACATTCACAGGCACACCATCGATATTGAAGAAACGAAACCGTGATTTGGCATCACCTATGTCAGAAAAGAGAAGTGAGAAAAAGCTCGAAAGCGGCATGAATCAGGAGTCATTTTCCAGCTTGGCTAGAGATTTTTCTCGACTAGATGTTATGCTTGATGGCAATGGCAACCCAAAAGCGCCTCTGTTGTCTCCAGCACCAAACCAGAAAGGAGAATCTGGGAACTCCACTTCTAATAAAGAAAATTCGAGTCATGCTCTAGAAGCAGGAAAAGAAGAGGGCAGAGATGCTAAAACTAAGGGTGATTTGGATGCTGCAACCAAAAATGTGAGTTTACTGTACTTTTTGTGTATCTGAGGGATCATGCTTTTTCTGAATGAGCTAATCTTTAAATTTAAATGTGTTGCTGATCTGAATTCTACTTCTCTCACACCTCCTCGTCACTTTCCATTTGCTCTGTTTGGTATCTTGAAATTCCTTCTCTCAATGCTCAGATTACCAGACACTAATTTATTGTATTAACTTTTCTTTGTGCGGAAATCAGTTCCTTTAGTCTTGGTCTAGGCAATAACCATGAACCTATGGTTTGAACTTTTAACATCATATGGGTGTTGCAAAATAACTGCTAGACAAACCTCTTTTCATTGATTCTTCTTTGTCAGGTGCAACAAGCATCAGCAGTCCTAGTTGAACATAACATGAATGATCTGCTATTTTTTTCTCCGGATCGTTATGAAGACAGAGCCCTTGGGACAAGTATTAGAACTCTTGGAATTCAGTGTTCTAGAAGGTTAGAAACTACATCAAATCAAGTTGCTCTCTCAGAATCTTCATCAGGGAATCCGTGTTCATCTATTGTTAGCTCTCCTACTGTCTCCGGAAGGAAGGATAAAAGTCGGTTGGTTGCAGCTGTGTCCGCACAATCTGTTCCTGCATCAAATCCTCTGGAGATTATGGCTGGAAGCTCTGGGAATGATGCCGGTGTTGAAAATTTGTGCGTGTAAGATCTTGTTCGTTTTTCTTCTTTACTCGATATTATTATTATCATTATTTTTTTCAAGCAACTTTGTTTAATGCCTAGTTGGGAGAGTCATCTTTTGTGTGATCACTGGAGTTGCAATTCTTTTTCATGAGCCTTTTCTTTTGCCTGGTGAGGACCATTTGTGGGTTGGTTAGAAATTTTACTTATCATCTAAGATTTCTATGAGTTTGACTTCTCTTAAGTTGCGTAGATGTTGTATTTTTTACTGTTTCTGTTTTAATTCTTCTCTATTTCTGTTAAATATAATTGTAGAATCAAAACATACATATAATTGGTTTGGTTTGGTTTGCTGATGTTTTTTTTATTCCCAGATTTGGTGAAACTCCTTTCAAAAGAAGTATCGAATCCCCATCAGCATGGAAGTCTCCTTGGTTCATTAACTCTTTTCTGCCAGGCCCAAGAATTGATACAGATATAACAATTGAGGTAGCTCTAGTCCTGGTAGTTTATTTTGTTTTGTTCGTTTATATGATAGAGTTAGGTTTATTACTATTTTCTTACTTCACTTATTTCTTATATTATCCATGAAACTCTTGCAGGATATTGGTTACTTTATGAGCCCCGGGGATAGAAGTTACGATGCCATTGGGCTAATGAAACAGTTAAGCGAGCATACTGCAGCTGCATTTGCTGATGCCCAAGAGGTTTTGGGAGATGAAACGCCTGAAACAATATTAAAGCAAAGACGCTCCAACAACCAGAAATTGGATCTGGAGAATTGTGCCCTGAACAGTCAGCCAGATAACCATTCCCTTTTGGCTTCAAATGTCCCGGTATGATTTTGCACTATTTTAAAGATTTTTTTCCCCACTAGGTGCAATTGAAAGTGATTTTGGTTCTGTTACTGCTTTAGAGTATGATAGTTTCCAAAAACATTACACTTGTTTCATTTGAGTGCTTGCTAAAGAAGTGTGATTATAAAATGTGTCAAAATCCATTATAGAATTGAACCTATGCTTAGAAGTCGGTGAGTGTTGAAAATTAGTAAATCAGGACCAAATGTCTCTTGCTAGTAAAATGTTTTACATTGTACAAGGACATCCCATGAAAAATTCTTTTCCATTGATTATTTGTCAAATCTTCTGATTGTTAAGGTGGCTTAACAAAGTTACATTTGTAGGTCAATTTTCGGACCTGTAAGTCCTCTTTTTCGTCACTGCAAGATTAGTGACAACTTCATAGAACAAAAATGAGGGATTATCCTCTTCTGTCCCTACAAACTCTTAAACCCTTTGGTCTAACGAACATAAATCGGGTTTGAAGATGAATTGTCTATTTTGCAGAGCCTCTCTAGATTTATGCATCTTATGATGGATCCTTGTCCTTGATGCCTTGCGATACATTTGTTTCTTCACTTCACCGTAGGATTGAGTGATAGGATTACTAGTTTAGTGGTATTAATTCACCCACATGGAAACATTGTAGTGTTTGACCGAACTTTGTAGAATATACAACTAATGTGTTATTCCCTTTTCATGATTTTTTGGGGGTTATTCTGGTACTTTGGCAGACGGAACGGCGTGTGCTAGATTTCAGTGAATGTGGGACACCTGGGAAAGGAAAAGAAAGTGGAAAATTTTCAACTGTGACAATTCTCTCAAGTCCCTCTTCCTATCTGTTGAAGGGTTGCAGGTAGCTGGGAAAGGAAAACTGAATGTGGGCCACCAGGGAAAGTAAAAGAAGGAAAGTCCTTGTGGCTATATAGCCTTATGCTGCTGTTACATTTCGAAGTTTATATATATATATATATACATGTGTGTATTTTTCTTTTTCTTTTTTCCTGTATTATTCTTCCTTCCCCAATTGGATTTTTAATTTATTAAAATTGATAAAAGATTGGTTTAGTGCATTCTGAATTCTTTTGATCTGCCCTCCTCATGGTTGGATGATTGTTTATGATAGCTGGTTTCCCTTCAATGATGGAGACAAAAAAGCATCTCTTCTCTACTTGATTAGATAAAAGGAGAAATTATAAATAAGTGAGACAACATTAAAACAATTGTATTACATGTGAAGTTTTTTTTTAGTGCAAATCTGACACACATGAAAGACTTATACCACATATACAGGTGAAGTTTATCATCATGAAAATGTATCTCAAAAGACTTGCACACAAATATTTTTCCCACATAATTTTTTATTTGGATTTTCCTCCCACATACTATGAAATAACTTTGCAAATTTTGAGTAAGAATTTGAGCCTCCCTAACTTTGGATAAAATTTAAATAAAATTCAATTTGATATAAGTTTGAGTTGAGAAATGGATGGTGTTTTGAGTGTTTTCTAAATTTAAATTTGATATAAGTTTGAATCAGTTATTGACTATGGCCATATAACGAAAATAACAAAAGAATGAAAATGATTGAAAAGTAAATAACTAGAAGTCCAAAAAATTTTAAAATAAAAACATAAAATTAATTACAATCAAGTTTGGATGGAGGGATATTTACATAATGTAATTCTTTAGGACTTGTTCATGATCTACCCTCCCCGGTTTTCAAAGAGATAGACTGTTGTAGATAAGCTTTGGCTGAGCTGCTTTGTCATGTAGCGTCGGCTGAAATGATGTGGCTGATCACTTTCTGCCTAATAATGCATGTTGCTCCACGTGTCCTGGATAAGGTTGGAGTCGATCAGGAGACAACCGCATTTGATAGTGGGGTCCACTATGCTTCAATCCTGTTGATGAGATTGTGATATTCTTCATCAGTCTCTGATGGAAGGGGAATCTGGATCTTGGCTGTATTGCTCATTCAGGAAATGTTCTACATCATCCGCGGTCATGGCTAGTTCCAATGGAAGATCCAAATTATTTCTCTTTTTGAGATTTATTAACATGTCAAGAGCCTCATTAATTTGTGTAGGAGATCTTTGATATGTTATGGGAAAATGGGTTACAAATAATATTCGATCATCTGTAACCATGAATGGTAATTTTGCTGAGCCATGGATGTTGGACGCTGCTTGTGAAATAGATATTAAACTGTCTATCTAATATTCTGTCAAGGAAAGTTTTTGGATATTTTCCAATCGCTCTCTCCGGTGATCTTCATCTAGATAATCATCTTCAAATTCAAAATCTTCAGTTTCTTTAAGATACCAAATCTGGTATGGTTGGAAAAAATATTCTCGTTCTCGCCAACCAACAGTGCTGGAGATCCAGAAAGTAAAATATTTGCTCCATCGAAAGCCTTTTACTATTCATGAGAGCATTGCTTTGGTGATCATTAGATAATCTATCCATTGGATTGAATCTAAAATTTGAAAAATAACTTGATTAGTTATTCCCCAATCTATATCCTCAAAAAACCACATGTCATGGTTTGCCATGATGGTTATTTTGAGAATTCAACTTTCAAATTTAATTTATCATAAGATCGTTCTAAGATTTGTCTAATCTTACCATGATGATCTTCAACTCGATTTTTGATTAACATAAAAATTTCTTTTGGAAGCAAAGTTCTTGCTTTTTTAAAAAGACAAATTCTTTTTATTTGTTCAAAAACTAGATCAGAAAACTCATTTGATATGAGGTCTGATAGTTGAAGAAAATTGTTTATTTTTTCAAAATTAAAATCTTCATTCCAATTCATTTGTTTAAGAATATTGAAACAAAGATTTTGCAAATCTTTTAATTTAGTTGTTTGCTCAACTAATTTGTTGGCCAGAACTCCCATGTGTTTTTGAAATTTCACTTTGTTGTCTACAATGTGAGTTTTCCAAACTCCATTGAGTTCTGTATAAATTTCTCTGGATATACCAAGATTGAAAAAATCTTTTATTTCAGATTCATCTGGTCTAGATGTCTGAACATTAGTTGGAACTGGGTTAGTTCTCATTTGACAAAATTTTTTTTGATAAACAGGCATAGCTGGTGCACTGTAAAAAGTTTTTTAGCTTTGGTTATGCTATCATATGCTTTAAAGCTTGCTCCTGAATATCCACAAACTTGTGTTTTGCAATCATTCTATTCTGTGTAAATTCCAGGTTGTCTTCCTGCAAACACAACATAAACTTTTTCCTCTTTGGGGATTGCTTTTTTAGCAATTGTCACCCAATCTCCTTGAGCGGGTTGTTTACCCTTGTCCATTGTTTCCTCTTGGTCTAGAGGTCTTCTGTAAAAATTAAATTTACTTGTTTAGCAATTTAATTTTCTGAAACAACTTCTGCTAAGAAAATCTGCAAGAAAATTGTTAGTACCTTTAAGATGTTCTACTTCAAAGGTATATTCATAAATTTTATTATACTAGACTAATCGTCTTCCTTGCTCTATAGGTTTTTTATTGATCAAGAAATCTCTTACTGCCTTATTATCAGTGCGTACAATAAAATTTTCTGGGGCTAAATAAATATGAAAGCTCTTTATTGCCAATTTTATTACAAGTAATTCTTTTTCAAAGATAATATATTTATGTTCATTTGGTTTAAATGTTCCAGAATTATATTCATAAATTAACTCTTTTTTTTGTAATTTTATAGGTATTGGATTTTTTCTTGGTCTAATCCCATTTTTTGATAAAGGTATCTCTTTATCATACCATAAATTACTTGGTATTGCTTTAAGAACACATCCCTAGCATGCTTCTGAGGCATCTGTTTCTAAAATTAACTTATCACCTGTTTTAGGAAGATAAACATCTGGTAAAGTTTTAACATTTTCTTTAATTTGTTTAATTAAAGCAACATCTTCTGCTGTCCATTCAAAAATAACTTTTTCCTTAATTTGGTTAACCAAGGAATTTCTATTTTTGAAAGATTTTTGATAAAATTTCGTCCATAATTTAAAATGCCTAATAAACTCTGTAATTATGTTATATTTTCTAAAGTATCAGGAAAATCTCGTATTTTGGACAAAATATGTTTTTGTAATTTTAAACCTTTCTGGTCTAAAATTATTCCCAAAAATTCAATTGATTCTTTTTCTAGTTCAATCTTTTTTGGAGACAAAATAATTCTATATTTTTGGAATTTTTCACAAAGTAATTTTAAATGTTTCCTATGCTCTTCCTTGGTTTTAGAGAAGATAAGTATATCATCAATATAAACTACGCAACAATCTTTAAGATCTTTAAAAATTGTATCAATCCACCGTTGAAATACCTGTGGTGCTATATTTAATCCAAAGGGCATAACATTCCAGTGGTAATGTCCTCTAGGTGTACTGAAGACTGTCAATTTTTTTGGCTCTTCAGTCAATTGAATTTGCCAAAATCCACTTTTTCAATCAAATTTGCTAAAGATTTTTGATTCTTTGGTTAAGTTAATCAAAACATCTTTTCGTGGAATAAAATATCTATCAAATTTTAAATTTTCATTTAGCTGTTTATAGTTGACTACCATTCGGGCTTTTCCTCTTTTAATTTCAGCATGGTTTCTTACCATAAAAGCTGGACTAGAGTGAGGGCTTGTACTTTCTTCAATTAACTTTTTATCTAAAAGTTCTTGGAGTTGAATATCAAATTCATCTATATCTTGTCTAATATAGATCATTGGTCTTACTCTAATGATAACATTAGGGTCTTTCAATTTTAAACTACAATAACGTGGACTACGTTGCCATAGTTTTAATGGATGTTCACTAAAATTTTCTTCTAAAATTTTATAAATCCAATGTGATTCATCAATAGTTTTGATGATGGGAGTTAAATCACCACGCGGCACGGGCGCAAACTCTTTATCACAAATGTATTTATGTTGTTCTAACAAGGGAATATGAATTAAGACATTAAAAAAATTGTTTATTTTTTTAAAATTAAATTCCATTTACATGAGCTAACTGTAGCTCCTGTGTCTATGAGAACACTGAAGGTATAGGGTTTGTAACCTGCAAAATTAAATGTTCCCAATACATATATATATATATATATATATCTTCTTTTTCCTTGGCTAGGAAAAAAAATAATGTCATCATTTTTTGTTTGAAAATGATACATATATGCAGAATTAATATGTTCAAGTTTCCTTGTTCCTGGAAAAATAGGAATCTGAACATTGTTTGAAGCAATAGATTCTTGATTAGAATTATTACGTGATTCTCCAATGCTTAACTTTGAAAATGATTTGTTAGAAAAATCTTTTTCAAATACAGAAGTTGATCTTTTAATTTTTGGAACTGTATTTTCAATATATAAATTTTTTCCTGATGCCTGCATTTGTAATTGTGCAGGTTTTTTTGTTTTAGAAGATTCTCCTTGTCCCACTAGGTCTTGGATTAACCATTGTCAAGGGACTTCTAAATCGCTCCAATTCATTAGACGAGGTTGTATTTCGGTGTCAAATGGTCTTGGTTCAAAGATCTCAACGATTTTATTATCGTTTGATCTTGTTTCTGTTTTAGGAAATTTAGTTAATTCGTGAATTATTTTCCAACGAATAGCCAAATCATGAGAATTTGATTTCATTCCTAATCCTTGTGTTTTAATTCTTATTCTGACTGTATCTTCAAGATTAGGATCATTTATGGAAATAAAGAAATTTGGTCTAACATTAAACCAAATTACTCCATTAGCCAAATTAAACTGAATTCCTCCAATGATTGCTTTCATTGGGTCAGAAAATCTTTTGTCAAAAATTACTGCCAAAATAGGAGTATCTATCCCTTGGCGAAATAAGTGCTTTCATTGGGTCGAAAATCTTTTATCAAAAATTACTGCCAAAAAAGGAATATTTTTACCTTGGTGGAATAAGGTTGTTGTGGTTACATGTATTAATCCAATATGAATATATAGAATCTTAGGATAGTTCTTTTTCCGTCTTGTAACTTTTTCCTTATCAAAAAAAGAAATATCTATATTTCCTTCTTCTGATCATTTTGTTTGAGTGTTATCACTGTATTGTTCAAACACTCTTGCTGAA